GGTCGCGCCGCTGGCAGGCGCCCGGCGTGAGATTAAGGGGAAGCCACGTGTGTGAGAGCGCAGGAGGAGAGCAGTTGAGAGCCATCGAGCGAGCGATGTGCGTGTGGAGGTTAGAGGAGAGATTACAGAAGCGTGGGGGATGGATGGATGGATGGATGGATGGATGGATGGATGGATGGATGGATGGATGGATGGATGGATGGATGGATGGATGGATGGATGGATGGATGGATGGAGAAGGTAAAGAGTTGCCGGCATAGGTGCAATCCGAAGGCAAGCGCGAGTAATAGCTTTCTTTAGACGCCTAAAAGTGTCACCCCTCGTTTCACATTATGGCCAAGGTTCGCGCGGCTCCCCCCTCGCACTTTTTCGGGGATGGACTGTCGATTAGCTATAGAGAGAGGTTTGTTGACAGGAAACTTGAGGGAAGGGGGGTTAGGGGGAGAATTTGGGGGAGGGAAGGGAGAGAGGGAGTGAAGAAAGAAAAGATACAGATCGGGATCAAGAAAGAAGGACGAGGGAAGGAGAGGGAAAGAGCGAAGGAAAGAAAGTCAGAGAGTGAGGCCGAAAAAAAGGAAAGAGGATAAAAGGAAAGAGGGGAAAAGGATGGAAAGAGAGGGGAGAGAAAGAGATGCATGGAACAAGGGAGAAAAACTGAAATTAGCTTGATCAGAAATGATCACCCTTTATTTAGCGGAGAAAAAAATAATAAAAGTGCACCAGGGTATGGCGAGGTAGATGGATCGGTGTCCTGGGATCAGGGAGAGGAGAAATACACGAAGCGCGGCTTCTCTCTAGAGAAAGAGCCGCGACGTAAGTGTGGGAGGCCAGGGGCCGTGAGGAAGCAGCGAGTTCCCTGCAAGTCCCGGCTGCGTCCCAAGAGGAGGGCAGGCAAACCGCTCCGTCATTAATCTTTCAAAAGTACTTAACTAAGCAGAGACAGGAGGAGGAAGCAGCGAGGGGCTTAGGGAGCGAAGCCGCGGCTTGGCCCAGCAGGTCAGCGGACGCGCAGCGGGGAGCGCGCACACGTATGCGGGGTGCGAGCAGTTCCCAGTCTTCTGGCGTTCCTCGGACCCCTCACTCCGCAGCCTCTTTCCCTCAGGGCTGTATCATTCAACAAAACTCAGGCAGCCGCCTCAGGCAGTAGGTCTGGGTGTCACGAAAGGACCAAGGACCGTAGCAAAATCTGTAGTGCGGTTACTGTATTTTTACTGCCAGGTGTGTGTGTTGTTTTTGAGTTTGAGGTGCCATTTGCTGCTCTGCTTTAGGCATCAAAGTGCTTGAGGCTGGTTCTCTCTATCTCTCTCTCTGCCCCCCCCCCAAGCCCAACACCTCCTCACAAGACACCTTCAGAGTATCAGAACTATAAAATATGGGCTCCGTTTCTCACATAATACCAGATGTCAGATTTCAACAGGGAAGGGTGGTGGTGGTTGTCCATAGAGAAGATCCCATGAATGTTGGAAGAATGCTAGAAATATCAAGGATCCCATTCACAAGATCTTTCCAAGAAAAATCCCTAGCTCACCCATTCTGACACACCTTTCCGCATTCACTGGGTAGAAAGGGAGGGGGAAGCAGTAGATTGTCCCATACCTTGCTGGTACAAATACATTGAGCAATAGGGTCCCAGTGTAGGACATACCATGGACTAATGGCATAAACCCTGTTCTTACTCCCAACTAGAGTAGACCTATGAAATGAACAGGACTGGTAAATGCCAACTTATGATAAGACCCATTGGTTGAAATCCTGTTGCTTAGTGTAGTAAATTACAACTATCGAATCAGTGGAATTATGGAGGAGCTGACTCACCAAATCCACAAGATCTCATATGTGAGCACCCCAAGTTTTCAAATGTTCAGGGGAGGTTCTTCTCTCTGTTACATTGCCTGGAAGGCTCATTTGGTGGGAGCCTTTCCCATTAACTGCTCAATTGTTTGGGTATCTGGCTGCGGAGTTAGAGGCTGGGAGTTTGACTCCCCATTGTGCCTCCTTAGTAGGGGTTGGACTTGATAATCTTCCAGCTCTGCAGTTGCAATGAGGATGAGGATGACTGCCCTCTCCTTGTTGTCTTTTCAAAACCAGCAAAGCTCTTTTTCTTTAGGCAGTCTTTTGGCAGCTGAAGAAGCCACAGAGAACAAGGGTTTTAGAACAACAACAACACGGGGTGCTTAAGAACCCCATGGTGCAGTGATTAAACTGCAGTACTGCAGTTAAGCCTCTGCTCATGATTTGAATTCAATCTCAACAGGTTCAGATAGCTGGCTGAAGGCTGATTCAGCCTTCCATCCTTCTGAGATCAGCAAAATGAGTAGCAGCTCACTGGGGGACAAAGTTTTGTTTGTATAATTATGGTGTAAACTATCAAGAGAGTGCTTTAGCACTATGGGACAGTATATAAATTGAAACAACAATGTTTCCTTTTTTCCTCTAAAAAACCTTTCTTAACACAGGGAGTTTAATACATGTGTGTGTGTGTGTGTTTTTTTATATTTTAATGTTTCAGTATTAAAAAAAATTCAAATAATAAAATCAATATGTGAACGGAAAAATGATTTTTTAAAAACAGTGGCATGTTTCTCAGAGGGGGGGACCCACAACTGTCATTATCAAAGTTCATCAGAATTATGTTTCTTGATATATCCACATTTGCTGTATATCATTGATACATTCTGTTGACAATGTTTGTCAATTACAAACTCCCTCTCTCACACACTCACAACATACAGAGACACACCCTTTCAAAACAAAGCAAAAACACAGAATAATATAGTATTCTGATCTCAAAACAATATTACCTAGAGTGAAAAAATCATGGTAAAATAATGTGCTTGATATTTTTCAGTGTGTTCTGAGTACATAAAGGTTCTATCAGAATCCACACATTTTTCGTGCTAAAATGTCTCCTGCTAGCACATCCCACACATCATTCTACCCAAGAGAAACATTCTCTCTCCAACACTTGGGCACCTTATTTTTCCAGTGGCAAATATCAAGGGGACTCACATCTCCTCTGAGGGTTTGTTCTTCCCTCATGTCCCTCTTAGCCAGAGGGAACTAGAGGTTTAGAGCAAAGGGGCTGAAACCCAGGAGCCATGCTATGAAATAAAAGGGAAAGAAAGCCTCAGAGAGGTGATGGTGTCTTTGAATTATTACTGGTGGGATTAATCGGGGGGGTGGGAGCTGGACTACAGGAGACTTCTCATCGCTTCGACTGGAAATGCTTCTCTGCACACACAAAGCAGCTAAATACTCTGTGTTGTCTAGATCTCTATAATGAGATCAGCCCATAATTCCAACAGTAGTCATGGTGGATTTAGCCCACATCCAGGAAGCAGCAGGGAGAGAAGAAGGCCTGCCACAGCAAAACGCCAGGAATCCAACCTGTGTAAGCTGTTTTTGTCTCTCTAGTCGGCTCTCCAGCTCACTGGAATGTTTCTCCACCAAACCCACAAGAGATCTGGTGACCAGAAACCAACTGTTCTTGACCATTCACAGGTTCAGTTCAACCGTGCTTTTGCTTGCTTGCTTTTGCTGACTGGTTTATCTGCCTGGAGACAAATGGCTTGACTTGACCAGATGGGCAGACCTCCTCCTGCTGTGTGATAAGGATCCACGTGAAATGGCAATGCACTGGCACTCACAGCCTGGCACACAACGGTGTGGTGAACCACAGGGGCCCCTGGGAGTGATAAACACAAGGAGGTGTTGAGCACCTCTCTTGTATTCCTGCTGCCTCCCATACTCAGGGCCACCCCATCACACACATAACACACTGAGCCCCACTACCTAGACACTGACTCATTTCTCCCCTCCCAGATTACAAAGACATCCTTCCCATAATAACTTGGGCCTAAAGAATTGACACTTGTATTTTGTTGTTTAGTTGTTAAGTCGTGTCCAACTCTTCGTGACCCCATGGACCAGAGCACACCAGGCCCTCCTGTCTTCCACTGCCTCCCGGAGTTGGGTCAAATTCATATTGGCAGCTTCGATGACACTGTCCAACCATCTCATCCTCTGTCATCTCCTTCTCCTCTTGCCTTCCCACTTTCCCAACATCAGGGTCTTTTCCAGGGAATCTTCTCTTCTCATGAGATGGCCAAAGTATTGGAGCCTCAGCTTCAGGATCTGTCCTTCCAGTGAGCACTCTGGGTTGATTTTTTTTCAAAATGGATAAGTTTGTTCTCCTTGCAGTCTAGGGGACTCTCAAGAGTCTCCTCCAGCTCCACAAATCAGAAGCATCAATTCTTTTGTTGTCAGCCTTCTTTATGGTCCAGCTCTCACTTCCATACATCGCTACTGGAAAAACCATAGCTTTGACTATGCGGACCCTTGTTGACAAGGTGATGTCTCTGCTTTTTAAGATGCTGTCTAGGTTTGT